GCCAGGTCTGTGCAGCAGCCATCTTCATTCACCACTTGTTACAGGATTCCCATGCTGTTTTTAGGCTGAGTTTGAAACTGTAGCACAATGGTCTGAGTATGGAGTAGAATTAGTTCAACAAGGTTAAACAGTTAGTGTTGAGTTTGTATGTTCTCCCCCATGTGGGGGTTTTTTTCCCCGACGATTACAGTTTCCTCCCACGGTCTAAAAACACGTAGGTTGGGAATTAGGGAAACTGGAGAGTCTAAAGTGATAGCAGTGGAGGAGTGAAGGTAAAATGGTTTTACATTTCACCACTCATTTGTGACTGTGATTTTTAATAAATTAATTGCACCAATTGGTAACTTTTATTTTTATTCTTTTATTTATTTTATTTTTATTTTTATTTTTATTTTTATTTTTATTTTTATTTTTATTTTTATTTTTATTTTTATTTTTATTTTTATTTTTATTTTTATTTTTATTTTTATTTTTATTTTTATTTTTATTTTTATTTTTATTTTTATTTTTATTTTTATTTTTATTTTTATTTTTTTTTTTATTAGCTATCAAGTGCTTACTACAGTCGCACTTGTTGCTGTTATATTGGACCAAAAAGGTTTACTTGTTGATAAAATCAAAGCAAAGCATCTCCCAAAATGCCTTTGTGTATTCGGTGGGCCACGCGGTGCTGAGCGTGTCTTACAGCGGAAGGACAAAGAGATTAGGTTTATTGTTCCCTTCACATTGACCAAAGGATTCATAGGTGTGACATTTTTTTTTTCATCTTTCCATTTGCCCTGTCCTTCCCGCTCCATCACGACCCTGACGAGGATGAATTGGTAGAAGAACAAATGAATGAATGGATGGTGCATTCACTGCCCTGTGTCAGGTGTAACTGAATAGAAGCCATTCAGATACAGACACAGACGTCCACCTGGTGGTGATGTCTCCATTACTGAGTGCATATGACAACCTGAAATTTGCATTAAAACAGGAGCAGCAGAAAAAACATGGTGCGAATCTAGCCAAGCTAAACATTGAGTGAGAAACAAGAAGACAATCAAAAACTAATTTTCCATGTAGTCAGCACTTTAACTTCTTTGTCCCCTATTTTATGTGGACTCCAGTATCTCCCGGCAGAGAAGAAAATCAATGAAAAAGTGTCCAAAAGTGATGAAGAGCTCAGTGGAAAAAAAGGGAAGACAAACTTACTGGGAACTCTGTTGATGGCTCGCAGTGGGCGGAGCACACGGACGGTCCTGATGGCTGATAGGCTGACGTTGTGTCCGTCCAGAGAGTATTCCAGCATTCTGTGAAGACGGAAATCCGCGGCCATGTCACTGTGATCAGTGTCAGCGTGACATTGTCGAGTCCTGAACGTCTACTGGGAATCCATCAGAAGGCGGGGTCCCAGGGGCACACACGCTTTAAAACTAACCAATCACAGAGGTCTCACGGGACAAAATGTTGTGATTGTCATTCTGTGAAATGGTCTAACCCCAACACTCGCACACACGTGCTGACACACACACACAGTCATGCACACACACTCGGGCAGGCACGTCTACACGTGCACACGCTTGACATTTAACTGGCATTAAACAAGTGTCTAAGCTGTACACAAAACACACATTTGGCTCATATTTAATGTCAGATGCAATGAATGAATGGTGTGTCTGTGTCTGTGTGTGTGTGTGTGTGTCTGTGTGTGTGTCTGTGTCTTATCCACCAAATACCAACCCCACTATAACGATGAAGAAGTCCAGTCTGTTCCATGTGTCTCCCAGGTAACCGTTCTGACCAATGACCCCCAGAGCCACCATCTTCATCACCATCTCTCCGGCAAAAAACACAAAGATGCCGTCGTCCAGAGCCTACATGAGCACAAGGAGGAGCTCTTGAACACCAAAATGTAAAAAAGGGCGTTATTTGTAATTGTAGCAGTATCTTGAACACCAAAATGTAAAAAAGGGCATTATTTGTAATTGTAGCAGTACGCTTCACTTCACAGTTTATAGCACCTCCTGCAGGGGAGACAGGGTGTTTCCGTTGTTGACCATACATAAATGGCTTATTTGTTTCCTCTGTGATAAGTAACAAAAATGTGTAACGATATAAAATATAAACATAGGTTTTACTTGAATAAATGGTAGAAATTGAATCATTTTGTTAGGTTGTCATTGTGTGTGTGTGTGTGTGTTACCTGCAGATAGAAGGGTGTGTGACCACAGGGATGGAACATTCCCAGCGTCACAC